ATGTGATTGACAGGTGGCCGTGAGGAAAGCTTGACCTACCGGGGAGGCGCGAACATAATCACAAGTAGAAGAGTTTTTTTTTATGCATCAGACATGGCATAAAAATTCTCTGGCCTGAAAATATAGATTGTGACTTACAAGAATTTCTTGATCGATCGGTCTGGGAGTCATGAACCGGTAGAGACGAGCTTTTCTTGGCGGTCGTTATCGGTTGCGAAGTCGCAATCCCAAGCGGGGTCGAGTCCACGGCACCAAAAGCTAAGGTCGGAGCTGAGGCTACTCCTGACGGACTCGGTGTAACTGAGGGTGATGAAGGAAGACTCGTAGGAGACGCGAGCGGAGCTGATCGACGAGGGTCTCGGCGAGAGGTAGGGCGAAGGAGAGCGGCTGAGTTGGGAGACGACCGGATCCGCCAGGCGGGCCGCCTGGTCGACCATCTCGACTTGGACCGGGACCGGGTCGTCGATCTCCAGCTGGGGCGATGACTTCCGCTTGGTCAGTACCCGTCGGCACCGCTCGCCGAGCGAAAAGGCGACAACCATCAACTTCGACTGGCTCGTCGACTTGCGCAGTTTTGCATATCTCCCCTCATCAGCCGTCTTCCCCGTCTCGCCTCCGTCCACGCTAAGCACCAACAGCTTGCCGCGACCAGGTGAATCCGGCTCGGTGGTAATCATAACCGGCTTGGTCGTCATCGAGAGGCTGTATTGGAGACCGCCACATTCCATCTTGATCTATCTTCAACTTGCTTTCACTTTGTAACAATCGTGCTTCTCGGGAAGTCGATGGAAGAGAAGCGTGACACTAATAGTCTGACGAAACTGCAAAAATTGAATGTGGTCGAAGTATTTTTGCTTATAATCATTAACACATTAAATTGAATTGAAAAGAGAAAAATTTGGGAGGAGAGCACCCAAATTTGAGGAGGTATGTTCGACTTTATATAAGCAGTTTCAAGAGAGGTGAGTGGATCTATGGGGCAGCGGCTAACCTGTGATTTTTTTTTCAAGCGGACAAATCGGATGGATTTATTGGGTTGGAAGGTCCGCAAAATCTGGGTTTAAATTCCTGAGCTATAATCTGCAGTTAGACAAGATAGACTAAAAAGAGAGAGAGAGAGAGAGAGAATGTCAATCGAACGCCCCATGGAAATTTCTCCCACATAGACAGAGGGAGGGAGGACAGGGGGGTGTACATAGGATACAAGAAAACTCTTAGCGCAATTCCAAGGGTGACATTGATGATCAAGGCCAAGGAGAATCATGATGAGTGGGGAAGATTGAAAGGTATGTAGAGGCGGGTAAAAAAATGGCATCTTATTGCTTGGTAGTGATAGACATGAAGGAAGTGGAGAGAACCAAAAAGATGGAATAAATACCCACCGAAGTCTTATGTATTATCTGCGTATCACTATCAGCCACAAAACGTGCGGAAAGTTGCCAATGAGGTGTGTTTGTGTGTTTGTAATCCAGATTTCCGGAAACTTGTGGGCGGACTTCAGACTGAAAATGAGTAGAATTTTTTTTGTGTTTGAAAATGACTCCTCTAGTATTGAGACGGGGAAGAGTTGGGAGCAAAATGATTGAGGATTGAGGGCGAGTTGCACCTTGCTAAATCCTTGCAGCCTATTTATAATCTCAGCAACAGCCACAAGAGATGTGGAGGGAGAGAGAGCCGACGTAAAAGTCAATTCATTTGGTGGGTTTGGCTTGTATTCTGCACACCCAAGATTGGCCCTTGAATTGGAGGAATTTGCCGATAGTTAGGATAGAAGAGATGCAGAAAACCGTCCGACGTCGGACGGGTGAGAAAGTTTTTTGAGGAGGAAGATTGTATGGCGAAATTTTAGTACAAGTGTGACATGGGACTCCGGATGATGATGATGATGCTGATGTTGATGATGATGATGATGGAGGCAAGCCGAGCCAACAGGTTAGTTGTAAGCTAAAAACATTTAAAAAAAAAGAAGGGGGAGAGAGGGGGGAGTTAAGTAGGTTTATGAAATTTGCTGGACGTGCTAAAATGGTGATGGCTATCCGAGAACGCGAAGGGGCACGGCTGATGGAACTCTATGGGTTCTTGGTGCTAAGAGCAGCTGGTGCAAGTGGCTTCCCCAGCTCAGATCCAATCATCATCATCAATCGGCTGAGCAAGAGTTTGGTAGAACAACCTCGGCTGCCGTCTATCCTCTTGGTATACATAACATAATACGATACGATACGTTGGCCATATACATATCCTTGTGCCTTAAAAAGAAAAGATAAAAAATAACATACAACAATCGGATTTCCGAAAGCAGGAAGTCTTTCGGGTCATTGGCTTTTTTTTTTTCCTTTCTCCTTTTAATTCTTTTGAGATGTCGTCTTAATGTACTTCAGCCGATTAACAACGCAAAAATAAATGAATAAATAGAGGAATACATTAGCATTTCAGTGCCGAGACGCCGCCAAGGAAGTTTCCCAGTCAAACATCAGTCAAGGGGTTCTTGTATTATTATTGGGCAAACATGGATGATCATCAAGATTACAGTTGACTCTAGTTGGATAGCTCTTGGACTCGCAGTCACACTGGTATGGCCATATTGCAAATACGCAATTTTTTTTGTTCTAGTTGGAGGGAGTTGATTCAAAATTTTGAAAGGGGTACATGGCCGAAGGCAGAGGAGTTGGATCTATCAACCAGGGCATCTTTGTGATCATCTAGTGCGGACAAGCGGTGGAGGTAACTTCGCTTTCAAGCAACTCTAGTCAATATTTCCACACATAGATATCTGATCTCACTCACGGTCTACCTCCCAGCTGCAATGCCACCCGGCATCAAGCAAAGTTAAGTCCAGCAGCCATCATGGGCCGATGGGAAAGAATTCTGTCCTGGGTTTCGCCCGCCAACTCGACGGAAAAAACCCATTCAGGATTCAGATCTTACATATTTTGTAAGAATTATGTTATTATATCGTCGGCAAGTTGGACTAGGGCTGCGCCAGCTGTGTAAGCAGCCCATCGAGCAGCATTCGGCTGGATAATTCAGAGTTCAGGGCCGAGCTCGATCCAAGACTCACAAGAAATTGTACATATTTACAATACAAAAATCCCTATCGCTGTCTCTGCAGCCTGCTATCTGGGGTAATCTTGGACGGCCGTGAGTCTAAATCTCCAACCGAGCAATGCCCTGCAGAGCCTCCACCATCCACACAACCCGCAACCCGTCGCCCCAACGCTGCTGCAGCCTCCTCTGCTTGAGCCGTCGACTTTTACTGGATTGTATTGTAGCTAATACACTCATACAAGATGCGTCCAAGCTTCGATCATATCGTTCATTGGAGCTTATGAGCTTCCGCCAGACTGCAGCGCAGGGCTGGTGGGAAGATGCCGCGGCTAGCTGGCCAATCACCTCTTATGAACAATCTCAAAATCAAGATGTAGTATCTATATATGCACAACTTTAACAATGCCGCCTTCACTCGCCTAAATCAAGCGTGAATTCTGTTTACATAAATCTTTATGCGACACGAGTGGAGGCCACCATGCACACAAAGATTGTGGGACCACCCAGGAGCACCTTGCAGTCCGAAGGATCAAAGATCGTTTTTTTATATAAAAAAAACATGTCATATTCATGAAGGGAGTGTGGCCGACCAGAGGGATGAAAGGTGAAGATTTGAGACTCCAAACAGATGGACCAGATACAGCAATATTAAGATGATGTGAACAGTACATATAAACAGAGTGTGAAGGAAAAGGCAGCCATCTGGATGCCCCGTTCTAAGCGTTGATGGTGTGTGTATCCCAGCGGCAAACGATGAGTGTGAGTATGTACCGCAGATGGCGATGTAGGATGTCGGGAAGCCCCTATCAGTCAAACTCACTGAGCAGAGAGACAGACTATTCTCGGCGCCGTGAAGTGGTGCTGAAATCATGAGTCGGTATGTACCAGATAAACTCGTGACTAAAAAGAGTGAGAACGAGTGTTTCAAGCATCCAGCCCACAGCCTGTTGACAGTCCATATGGGCCTGCGCGATGTCTGCATCCTCAGCATGTCCCCCACTAGGTCCTCCTCCCTGCAGACACCCGCCAGAGCCATCTGCTGAACTCTTTCTTAGGGGGAAAAGCTCATCCCACATATTTACACACTTGTGTGTACCTTGGAGTTGCATTCTTGTATACGCATTGGTCGGCTGGACTTCTGTGGTGAACCTGCTCTTTTGATGTGGGTTTTTTCCTCTGTGGGGTCACAGACTATGTATGTACTTGCTGAACAGATCATATATCCATCATTGAGATAATTACCTTATAACAGAAAGCACGTCGGTCAGTCCATGAGGTTGGCGGCTTTGCTGATGCATCAACTTCAAGCTTTTGATGATTGACTGATTGTTGTGTTGTCTAATTGTCATGACTTATTTATTTGGACATTCTTTGCGAACCACAACTTGCTAGTTTCGGTTTTGTGTTTGAATTTTCCTATTCAGATAACAGGATGTCCTCCAGAGCAAGAGAAAAAAAAATAACTGAGGAATATCATCAGAGAGTTTAATTTCTTCAAATTTTCTTGTTGGTTGTCGTTGCAATCAGAGTAAACACGTAAAAAAATAAGACCTTTCTTACAACACTGCGTGAAAAGAAGGATATGAGAGAGGAGGAACTGACCAAAAAAAAGAGAAGATGGAAGCGAAATGATCTGGCTTTGATTGTTTTATTGTCAAAAAAGAAGGAAAACAAATATACAAAAAGTGTATAAAAGTGTTGAGAAAGAAAGAGAAGAGAGAAAAAGGAAGATGTAACGAAAAGAAAAGATTTATATCTAATGTTAAAAAGAAAAGAATCAGTCGATTTTTTTACTATGGCCGCTAATAGAAGCCAATTGTTGGGGCAAGTTTTCCGAGCCAACGGAGGCCAATAGACGAACGGCGAGGGCGAAGAAGATGATGAGAAGGAAAGCCGAGCCAGCCAACAAAACAAACCCACTAAAAACATAACCAAAAAAAAACACCCCACAATCAATTTCAAAAAAGTCATTCATTTTTTTGTGCCTGGAAAAAAAGGGAGAGAGAGACAGAGGGAAGGATGACGGACCTCGAGATGTCTTGTTTTTGGCAACTATCGCCGGCCCAATAGGTGACTTTCCCGGTCTTAACATCCGAAGATTTCTGGCAAGCGCACACGAAGCACTTCCCGCCTGAGGTTTTCTGGCCTTGAACGCATTGACCATGACCATTGCAGTCGGAGGAAGCGGAGAGACATTCGGCCTTGGTGGGGAAACATTTGCGACTGCTGGGGATGATGGGGATGGCCTGGGAGCCGAAGATAGAGCGCCGACGGTCGATGAGCTCGCGGCGGATGAAGCTCTGCTCGGAGGTCTTGAAGGGCGAAAGGATCGAGAGTTCGGTTCGCTTGCCTAATCGGGCGTGCACCAGCTGACCAGGTATGCCAATCACTATTGTCTCCATTCCCTCGTCTTCTCCTTCCTTCAACACCTCTCCTAATAACTCCTGGATCGCTCTCACACTCGTCCTGTATTGGATTGAGCTCTCCCCGTGTCGTCGGCGTACTTCTTGCAGCCCTGATAGTCGTAGGAATGCGATCGGTGGTGCCATTGCACGCTTTTGGACAAATTCATCGAGTTGCTTGAGATCATCCAATATTTGATACGCCGGCTGTAGTTTCCAAGCAAAGGGGTTTTTTTTTTTTTGAGTGGAAGCTCTACACATCATAACAAAAATCACAAGTTTGATTGTGCGAGTGTAGTTGAGGACTCACAGAATCGAGGGTACCGTATTCCTTGATAGCCAGAGTGAATTTTTCGAGATCGGGTTCGACAGACAGAGGGGAGTTGGAACTGATGGGTTTCGAAAGATCGGCAGCCCAGCGTTTCCAATCGGAGAGAGAGTCGGGCCAATCGGCGGCCCAATCGTCCAAGTTTTGTGCGAGTTGGAGGCCCATTCCGTCGTGATAGGCCTGGATGAAGTCCTTGAGACCAGGGATCGAGTCGATCGGGAGCCGCATGCTCTCGACGATCCGGCCGATATAGACCGAGATGAGGGCGTCAAAACTCAGGGTTTCTGGCGGATTCGGGACACCAAACATCTGCGATCGGGCGATGAAGTCGGCGGGCAGAACGGCTGAGAAATCGGAATTCGGATCAGGAGCATCGTCAGCCTTGGCAGTTCAAATGCGTAGATAATGATCTCTGAGGTTTAAGGGACTCAACTCTCTCCATCGTTCCCGTAGAGCGCGATAAACAATTTACGGTTTCCAGAGCCAGAGGGACTCCCGGCTGAGAGGGGCAAGTTCGAGTAAGTGTTACCGAGGACGAGCTGGGCTTTTGGGGTTGTTGGATGGAGGGATGGAGGCAGGTTTTCGAATTGGGAGATGTTTAACTTGTGGGAGAGGATCGCATTGAGTTCAGAAGTCGACAACGAGGGGGGCTGTGATGGTTGTTGCTCTGGTCTTCGTCCTGCAGGTTCGTTGAGATACAGCTTGGCAGTCAGTTGTCCATTGCTGAGACTGAGCAGTAGTAGTAGTGTTCCCAGCAAGACGGTCAACAGCTTCGTCAGGTCCATCGTCTCTTGGTTTTGGTTCAGTTGGTCTTGTGGGTTGATACTAAAATAAATAAATAAATAAATGTGTGGTGAGCACCAAGACCCTGTGGAAAGCGGATTGGCCCCGATTGGCCCGGGTAAATCCCCGGGATGTCAGTGATCTTGCCCCGGGGCTTGGTACCACCCACCACCGGCCAACGAAGTAGGGTCGACGGCGCGTTACCTGGGGCGCGCCGATGTGCGGGCGCCGCGCACGCGCGCCCTCGGTGCCCACAAAATCTGGAAAAAAGGGGGGTGGCGCGCACTTCTAACCCTAACTTTTCCAGGGGGAGTCATCCATCAACTGCCCATAAAAGTTGTATTTTTTTGGGTTTCTTGTTGGTTGAACTTATTTTTTGGCCCCCAAGACCCCCGTTCAACCCCCGAATACATAGTGTGAAGTGCTGCATGGCACCCACCAATTGTGACTACACCACAGGTTGAGTTTTGGAAATGGCACTCCGTCGGCTTGACCCCGCGGTCAAGCACTGGTCGGGCTCAACCCCTCTTACGCAATCCCGCCGGATTGGTCTGGCCAACGTCAATTTTGGGTAGGAAAGCTGTAATTCCAACGTTGGCTTGACCTCAGGGTCAAAAAGTCCCACCGTCGGCTTGACCCCATGTCTGAAAATGAAGAAAAAAAACTTTTTTTTTGACATTTTTTCTGCACCCTTTTCATGCCCAAAAAATTGTGGCCACCTCAAGAAAAAAAAAAAAAAAAACTCGGGAAAAAAAACTTGGAGACAAAAATTCTATATGCAATTTGAAATTTTCTATCTATTTATATGCGAAACCAAGGCAGATTGGTATGATATGATTGGCACAGTTGGATAAGCTCTTCGGTTATCAGCATGCAACCATGCAGTGAGCCTAGGTTGGGTGTTCAAGCCCCAAGCTGATTTTTTTTTGTTCTGCAGCGCGCTGCTGCGCAGTTACTGTCATGATGAAAAAATGCCGTCAAGCCGCCACAAGCTTGCCAGGCAACCGCGGGCAAGCCAACGTTGCAGGGTCAAGCCAACCACGGGGATTTACGCCCCCCGCTATGAAGCACCCCCAATTTTTCGTCGGGGCGGTACGGGTCAAGCCAACGGAATTCGTTCCGTCAAGCATCCGTCAACCAGAGCCCGTGGTGTACCCAATAAAGCAAAGTCAGACTTTGCTGCGGTAAAAAATTGAGGTTGAAAAAAAATTAAAAAACATGGAAAATAGACTGTATGTACATGTTTTTTACTGCAAAAAATGGCGCCCCTGGCGCACCTCCAATGTGCCAGCCAAAGGCGCGCATCACTGGCAGTTTTGGAGGCGCCCTCTGGCTTGCACTTTTCCAAAAGTGGTGCCGTCAACCCTACACCCAAGCATATTTAAGGGTGTCCCCCAAAGCCAAGCCCCAAGACCATGCCCCAGGGCTCAGCCCCTTACCGTTCTTTTTGGAATGCCCTGAACC